TGGGCAACACCCCCTCACTGGTTTAAAACCAACCAAGTCCCTGGACACACAGATGTCTGTAATTGTTCTGTCCTGTCAGAAACGGACATGCACCTGAAAAGTATTTTTATCTAAGAAAGCTGTGACACTTGACTTTGACATGTGGTGGTGGTGGTTATGTGCCATGGAGTCAGTTCCAACTCATAGCAACCCTATACGGGGTTTCCCAGGATGTAAATCTTTACTGGAGCAGAAAGCCTCGTCTTTCTCCCGCGGAGAGGCTGGGAGTTTTGAACTGCTGACCTTGCAGTTCACAGCCTGATTTGTAACCACTATGCTACCCGAGCTCTTTGACTTTGACATGTAGAAGAATCTAAGTCGTGACTGTGCTTGAACTCTTAGGTATGCTGCTGCTGTTGTTCAGTGCTGTGGAGTAGATCCTGACTCATAGTGACTGTACAAAGCCAGGGTTGTTGTTGTTAAGAGCCTTTGAGTAGGTTCCGATTCATAGTTACCCTATATAGCAGGGGTTGTTATTGTTAAATGCCTTTGGATCATCTCACACTCATAGCGATCCTACAACGGAGGAGCAGCTGGTGAGTTTGAACCGCCAACCTTGCGGTTCAAACTGACCTTAAAGTCAAATGCTTATCCTACAGCACCACACCAGGACTTGACTCCATAGCAGAGGTGGGGCATCTCTTTTCTGCCAAAAGTTATAACATCATTAGGGGGCCATACAAAATTATCAATTTAAACATTAGCCTGCTAGGCTTGCAAAATGTGCCCTTGAGCTGTTTAAATGTCTACATATTCCTTAGTGTTTTTGTGTACATAAAAAACAAAAGAAAAACAGGGGGAATAGAAGCAAATACTGTTGAACAATGACGCATGGAGGGGATTGTAATCATTGCAATGAAACAAAATACGATAGGATGAATGCAAAACTGATGTTCTCCCATGTAATCTATCACTGAATTCACAATAAAAGCTTTTTTAAAAAAATGAGCCTGCTATATTTGGTCAAGCATTTAATTAACTCACCCCTAAGGAGTCCTGGTGTGGTGCTGTGGGGTAATGCACCAGACTGCAAAGCCATTTGAACTGCAAGGTCGGCGGTTCAAGCTTACCAGCTGCTCCTTGGAAACCCTATACAGGGTCACTATGGGTCGGAATCAACTCGATGGCACTTCCCAATAACAACAATGCAACTAGACGGCACTTAACAACAACAACAACAACAACGTGAGGGCTGGAATTGCAGTTACCTTGGAAAGGCCAGACCAAATGATTTCATGGGCCTTACCTAACCTGTGGACCTCTGCTGCATAGGGTTTTTGAAGAGCAGCTGGTGGGCTTAAACCACCAACCTGTGGCTAACAGTCCAGTACCTAGACACATAACTCCTCCAGCACTTTTGATTCCGTCTCCTGAACATCTGTATTGACAAGGCATCTTTTAAATGGCATTTTATTGCTGAGCAAGGTTATGTTTCTATGGCCTATTAGCACATTCAGCTCCTGATGGTGAGGGTCACTGGGGGGCTCCAAAATGACAGTTATCACCAGGGTCAACTCACTTTACTGGTCTAGGTGGACACTGATGGCAAAAACCCATAGTTTAAATATAAAACAGAGTTGATGCTGTCTTTGATTTCAGTAAGAACAGAGAAAGTCAACAGTCAGTGTGGTGTCTTAATATATTTCCTCAAAGACAGGTTTTCTTATAAACACTTGGTTGACAGCTTTCTACTAGTTTAATGAATAGGCTCCCTTTAAACGTAGTGTCTTCCTACAGACATGTACAAAAGAGAAGTAAGGCCATTATTTCCCATCTAAATTTTACCAAGGAGGAGAATTAACACCCAGGATTTCCCCCCAGCAAAAATAAGGTTATACAAAGGATGGGGAAACTCAAGAGAACATAACCTGTTTGGGATGAGCTTTCCACATTCTTACCAACCTCACATGAACCATTAGCTCTGTGAGAAGTACATAGTTTCTTTTCTCTTGCATCTGCCCTTTGAATAACAGGTTTCAACTCCTTGAGACCCGCCCTATCTTCTAAGTCAGCCAAATAACACAGTGCTGCAACTGACCCCACAGTGCTGGAATCTATTAGGAAAATGACAATCTTCAGAGAACGTCACCTGCTAACACTCCAAATAGCCTTGAGTTCCTGCTTCAATTTGAGCCAATGCCTTCGGCGCCCCAACCTATACCCTAGCAAGGGATGCAATGTGTAAAATCTCCCATAATTATCCAATCCATTTTCCTAAAGACTGAAGAGTTACACATAGACTTCCTGGCCAATGAACTTAAGACATAAACTCTAAACCTGATTTTAACACACTCTGAGTTTGTTTGTTTTTTTTGAAATTCCAGTGAAGGATCATATCCATATCCCTAATATTCGGATAATGTAAAACACAGCTTTTCAATTCAAATGATATATATTGTTGCTGTTTTTAAGTGTCATCAAATTGATTCAGACCCATAGTGACCCAGTATAGGGTTTCCAAGGAGCAACTGGGGAGCTTGAACCACCGACCTTGCAGTTTAAACGACTTTGCAGTTGGACGCATTAGCGCACAGTGCCACACCATACATTTTAAAAATACTAGAGAGTGAGAAGAGCAGATGGAGATCTTTGACCAACGTTCCTTTCTTCTCTGAACAGTAATAATCAAACATGCCAATGGACACCTGAAATAGAATAATACCTGGGCCTTGAACTAGGAATATCTGGAGAGCTGAGATGTGAGACTCTGATTGCAGGGTGGAAAAAACAGAGCTATCATTTACTGAGCACCTACTATATGCTGAGCACTATGCTGAACACTGACATGCATCAACTTGCCTAAACCTCAGAAAACCCAAGAAGCAAATTTTCCTTTCCTCATTTCTCAGATAGTAAAAGTGAGTATCAGAGGGTTTAAATCCCTTGGCCAAAATCATGCAGACTGTTCACTGAAGAGTTAGGATTTAACCCTGGCTAACCCACTCCTGGTATGGCGCTGTGGAATAAAGCACTGGTCCACAAGATAGTTTTGAACCACAAGAGTTGGCGGTTCAAACTCACCAGCAACTCCTTGGAAACACTATACAATGAGTCAGAACAACTCACTTGCAGGGAGCGTGATAGCACTGTAGGATAAACACTACACTGGGAACCACAAGACAGGTGGTTCAAGCCCACCAGCTGCTCCTTGGGAGAAAGATGAGGCTTTATGTCTTCCAAAAATCTGCAGCCTTGCAATCCCATCCCCTCTGTACAGGGATGATAGAAACAGGCAACTTAGACATTAGCTACCTAAAATGAGGTGGTGATAAAGGCACGAAGTGACTGGCTTACAGTGTTTCAAGAGAGAGTTTAGTTTAAGAGTGTGTGTGTGGTGGGGGAGATAGAGTCCCTACTGAATAGTTTTCATCTTATCTAGATGGGTCTGATAAAAAGAGATGGGGATAAGATTCTTATGACTCAATAGTGATTAATTGTTATTATGACTAACTGCAACTGTCACAACTGTAAAGGTAGAAGTTTTGTAACAAAAACGGGGGAGTTAATCTTGCAGTTAATCTTGCAGTCTAGAAACAGGACCTTAGGACCATCAAGGGAGAAGACCACAAGTGGAATGTGGGACCTTATCCAGAGAAACAGCAGTGATGGAGGCAGAGATGAAGCAGCTGAGGACTATAGATTCATGGAAAGAGAGGGACTGAGAGCTGGTGCCAGGAGGCAGACTTGCAGAATATGCCCTTTAGTGGTGTAAATTATTATATATGACTGAGTTGTTTTTTTTTTATTATTTTAAAAAGCTAAAATGAAAGAGAAAAACTGTTAACTGATGGTACATTGAGGGGATTATGATCATTGTAATGAAACAGAGTATATGATTTGTTGAATGTAAAACTGATGCTCTGCCCTGTAAACTTTCACTCAATTCATAGTAAAAACTTAAAAAACAAACAAAGAAAAAAAACTACAGCCTTGGAAACCCTATAAAGAGCTGAACTCTACAGCACTTAACTCACTCCCAAATTCAAGCACTTAATACTATGCTAAAAAAAATTATACACTGTTTATCATTTCCAAAAAGGAGTGTTTTTCTTAAAAACTACACCTTCTCTCATTAGAAAAATAAAAGATTTCAGAGTAAATCTAGAGTAATTTTTCCATGATGTGCACACCTGGCCATTTCAAACTCTGTAAATGAAAACTGACCTTTCAATGTATAGTACAACATGTCTCCATGTATAGAACAACATGTCCTCACACTCTGATCTCAATCTACCTGCTGACATTCAGCAGCACCAAAGCAAATCTACGAATTCCCCAAGGCATGAAAATCCTGAGCAAGTAAAAGCTTCATCCTCTGTACTGGAGAACTCATTTCAGAAATTATGCCAAATCTATGGGCGTTTTTAAGCACTGGACATTTCAAAGCACATGACAGTACAAATTTAACAAAATAAGTCCCATTGTTTCTAGTATCAAACATTTCACAACCAATATCCTGTCATTCTAAGCGTTGAAACACTGAAAACACACAGCGTAAACTTTGGCTGGTGTTGCTGATTGAGGAAATGTTGCTTTTCCCCTCATGATCAGGCAAATGGAGAAGAGATAAACACCAGGGACATCAGCCTCTTCCCAAAGCTGACTATGAAAGTACAGGGTCAAACACTCTTTATTTACATTCACTCTGAAGATGCCTTGTCTTTTTCCAAGTCAACTTTCCAGCAGGTGTCCCAGATTAAACTGTGGAACACCATACTGGATCGATCGTTTAAAAAATATCCTCAATGTGATCTGTGACTGGCTATTTTTTAATTAGGGGTTGAAATCCTATACAATGACTGTTTAACCCCCGAACAGCCAGAGCAAGCGAAGGAAAACGTTGACGAGGAAAGGGGCCAAATCAGAGAGCGAGAAGGAGACTCCCCTTTTCATTGGGGTGCCCTGCACTGCGGGCTCCCGTGCAATCTTCCCAGTGCTTCCCGCCTCCCCAGGTAACTCACCAGAATTCCCATCACATCCGTCCAGAGTTGGGAGAACGCCCCGGACATGCCAGTGCCCAGCTCGGACTCGGACTCCGGCTCGGGTTCACACGCAGGCTCTGGCTCCGGCTCGGGGCCAGCTGCTCCCGCGTCCTCCATGGCCGCGGCGCACACGGGGGGCTGGCGTCTGGGTCCCCGGGGCGCCCAAGCCGTACCAGCCAGCGAGAGTCAGCGAGTCGCGCCTCCGCGCCGCATCCCCCGCTGGCCCACCTATCCCGCGGGGTTCCTGGCCGGCGACCGCACCGGGGCTCTAGGTGGCCATAAACTGCGCGCACAACTGACAACTCTAGAAACTTTCCCACCCCAACTCCACCGGGCCGCAGGGTAGCAGAAGGCAAAGTCCGCACCACTGGGCTCTACGGCGGGGAATTCTGCCCGCCCGGGAGCAAGTCAACCCACTGCCAAGGCGGTGCTTCCTGTGACGGCGACCAACCGACTAAGGCGCGCGAGTTGTGGCTGCAGCGAGTCTGGGCAGCGCCCCGCAGAGGTGACTCCGGTGCCTCAGGGACCTGGGAGCAGCTCCCTGGGACCCCTCTCTTCAGAATGAGCTCTTCCAGCTCCACATGACTCTCTCTCCCCTCGAAGCTAAAGAAAGCATTTAGCAACAAAAGGTGCTCTGATGTCAGGCTCTTTGCATGGAAATGAGCCCCAGACTGGAGAACAAATCGCCTGTTGAAAGAACAGCCGCTCTGCCGCCTCAGGCCTGCGCGAATTTCCAATCAAGCTCTTCTCTGCCGATTCGGGTCCCTGAAATTCGAGAAACTTAATCTTTAAACTAGGACTGAGGAAAGAGTTCATAAGTGGTTAGTGTTGTTACAGTTCACGCCTCTCCCCTCGCTAAATCTCACCACCTAAGTCAATCAAGACTTTGAGGGAGAAAACACGAATTGAAAGTTTGGGCTCCAGCCATTGTGTCTATCGTTTTTTTCTGAGTCAGGACATTTTGGCCACTGAGGGCCCATGATGTCCGTGCATTGCTGGGGGTTTCAGTTAATTAGAGCAAATGCTCTTTGGGTTTCAATAAATGGTTCCTTTACAGGAAGGCATAGGAAAAGATTACCTTCAATGTTACGGCTGCGGCCTTTCAGCTAATCCACACTAGGGCCCAGTGTTTGTTTTTGCAAGGGAAGATCCCTAACGGGTTTATTTTTCAAGGGAAAGAGCCTTGCAGAGGTACTCCGCTGGTGATTTATTCATCAAGAACCACTCAGGATTTTTGCTGCAAGATGACAGAACGTGCCACATTGGATTTTATGAAAGATCACTTTGTTAAATAGTTGGGAAGCCACAAGGAATCTGACGCACTATTAGAGGATTGTGGTGAACTAGGTGATACAGCGGTGTAACCTTTTTTAGATGCTTCTGTTTTCATTTCTTTGCCTTTCTAAACCCACATAAAAGGAAGATGCTAAGAGGACACCCTTAAAATTCCTTTAGTAAAAGCTTTGCTTAATGGGCGCACCAATGCAAATGGATGAATAACTCTTAGAGGAAAGTTCAAAATTAAACTACTTTCTCAAGATACTTACATTTATAGGTGTAATACCTGTTGATAACATCTTTGAAAGGGAAGGCGAACCCATGAGAAAGTTCTCTCTGAAGAGGTCTTGTGCTGAAGGGGAGGGGACGATGTACTGAATCAAAACCGCTCAGACCAGGTGCTTTTCTGGGATGACTATACTCCAGGTAGACCAGATGGAGTCCAAGGCTCCCTCATGTTCTAAAATGCTATGATTTCAAGTAGATTTAGTGATGCAGTGATGGTTGGTTTTGTTTATGTTTTTTGTTTGTTTGTAATTATCACTTCTATAGAGGTATTAAAATAAGTACATAAAGGTGATATGGGTTAAATTGCTTTCCCCCAAAAGTGTGTGTTGGAATCTAACCCATGTACCAGTGGATATAAGGCCAATTGAGCATAAGGTCTTCTTTGTTATGTTAATGATGCTTTATCAGTGTGGGTGTGTTTTAAAGCTAATGACTTTTGAGATGTAAAAAAGAGTAGATTAGACACAGGAAGTCAGCACAAATGGGGCAAAGATGTTGTTAAGTGTCTTGGAGTTGATTTTCAACTTATACCAACCCCGCCTGACAGGAACTGCCCCACTGTAATCACCAGGTCTTCCTCCTGTAGAGTTGCTGAATGCGTTCAAACCCTTAACCTTGCAGTTAGCAGCAGCCTACCTCTTAACCTTTGTGCCACCAGGGCTGCTTGGGGGTACAGATCAATACCACTATTTGTTGTTGTTAGGTGACATCAAGTCCAAGTCGGTTCTGACTCACTTATGCACAACAAAAGGAAACACTTCCTGGTCCTGTCTCAACCTCACAATTGTTGTTAGTCTTCAGCCCATTGCTCTTGCCACTGTGCCAACCGATCTCGTTGGGGGGTCTTCTATTTTGCTGACCCTCAACTTCACCAAGCATGATGTCCTTCTCCAGGGTCCCTCCTAATAATATGTCCGAAGAATGAGAGAGGAAGTCTGGCCAAGATCTTGGCTTCTAAGATCTGACTGTACTTCTTCCAACACAAATTCGTTTGCTCTTCTGGCAGTCCATGGTACTTTTAATATTCTTCTCCAACACCATTAACTTAAATGCATCAATTCTTATATTGTCTTCCTATTCATTGTCTAACCTTTACGTAAATATGAGGCTAGTGAAAATACCATGGCTTGGGTCAGACGTACCTTACTCCTCAAACTGACATCTTTGCTCTTGAACACTTGAAAGAGTTCTTGTGCAGCAGATTTGCCTAATGCATTGCTGTTGTTTAGTGCCTTTGCGTCGATTCCTACTCATAGCAACCCTGTAAATGGTTTCTGAGAAATAGCACATCCTTTGATTTCTTGACTGCTGCTTCCGTGAGTGTTAATGGTGAATCCAAGTAAAATGAAGTCATTGACAACTTTGGTCTTTTCTCCTTTTATCATGATACTATTTATTGTCAAGTAGTGAGGATTTTTGTTTTCTTTACATTGAGGTGCAACCATATCAAAGGCTGTGGTCTTTGATCTTCATCAGTAAGTATTTTAAGTCCTCTTCCCTTTCAGTAAGCAAGGTTGTATCATCTACATATCACAGGTTGTTAATGAGTCTTCTTCCAATCCTGATGCCATGTTCTTCTTCATATAATCCAGTTTATCAGTTTACAGATTGAATAAGTATATGGTGAAAGAATACAGCCCTGGCACACATGTCTCCTGATTTTAAACCATTCAGTGTCTTCCTGCTCTGTTCAAATGAGTGTCTCTTGGTCTATGTACAGGTTCCCCATGAGCACAATTAAGTGTTCCAGAATACTCATTCTCCATAATGTTGTCCATAGCTTTTCATGATCCACAGAGCCTTTGAGTAGTCACTAAGAGCAGGTAAACATCTTCCTGGCATTCTCTGCTTTCAGCCAACATCCATCTAGCATCAGCAATGACATCCTTTGTTCTACATGTTGGTATCACCAACACATTTATCAACACAACTTCTGCATTTACAGTTCAATGACATTGATTCATTTTTCTATTAACCATGAATGTAATGTGGTTGTGTTGACAAACGTATTGGTGTTTCTATATTCATAGCAATGATAACAAATCACAGGATGTCACGTGGAGATGGTTAAGGAGCACCAGGATTACTTACATAAGCTGAGACAAGAATCTTCTCCCAAAGCTGTCAAAGAAAGACCATCTTCCCCTATACCTAGAGTCCTGAATTGTGCCAGAGGAGGCCTGGTAGTAAGCATGCAGTGGGTAAGCGCACATTATTAACAAAAGGTTGGTGGTTCAAACCCATCAGCCTCTCTAAGGGACAAAGATGTGACAGACAGCTTCCAAAAAGATCTACAAACTTGGAAACCCTATAGGGTATTTCTACTTAGTCCTGTTGTTGTCAACTGCCATTGAGTTGGTTTCGACTCATACAGATTCTTTATGGGGATTCCAAGGAACAGCTGGTGGGTTTGAACTGTGGACCCTGGGGTTTAAAGTCCAGTGCTGGTGCTACTGTAAATCAGAATTAACTTAACATCAAAAGCTATGAACTGTGAGAAAATAATATTTGTGTTCTTCAAATCCACCTACTTGTATTTTTATTACACTAGATGAGTAAGATATCGGAAAAGATGAAATAGTCTTTTAGAGTTGCTATTACTGGTATGTTTAAGAATTCCAGTTTATTAACTCTGTGGGACTTCTGTTTCAATTCAAGAAAATACAGGAAATACGTGCTGCTTCACCAAGGAGCAGCTTGTACTCTGTATAAACCCTCTGGCAAATGATTAAGAAGGAGCCAGGCAGATAGGGCAGCGTGGGCCAAGGTGAGGGTAAGACTGCCTCTCTAGTACCAGTCATGGATCTTTTTCTTATTTGTCAGATGATCTGGGGCTAAGTTTTTAACCTTTCCTGCTACAATTTCCCCATGCCAAAATGCTGCAAAGTCACTGCAAATGCCACCCACCTCCTCAGGGGTGATATTTGGGGTCATTGTGGCTCTGTGGACTAAGCACTGGGTTGCTAACCACATGGCTCAACCCTACCATCTGCTCCACAGGAAAAAGACGAGGTTCTAGGTACCTGTAAAAACGACAATCTTAGAAACCCTCTATGGGGTCGCAATGAGTAGGAGCTGACTTGATTGCTTTGGGTAAGTGGGTCAGGAAAGGCTAGTTAGCAACAGTACAGACATATATATCTACATAATCAAACCTTTGCCAGGATTTTGGCACTTACAGAAATCAATTTATCCTAGAAATTGAAATCCTTTTTCTTGGAGCTGCCTAATAAGTGGATAGGGAAACTAAATAAATTCTATATTTTTGGAAATGTTGGTACCTATGATTTTACTCTGGTAGCGTAGTGGTTGAATCAGGCTGTGAACCACAAGGTCAGCAGTTTGAAACTACCAGCTGTTCCACGGGAGAAAGATGAGGCTTTGTGCTCCCGTAAAGATTTACAGCCTCGGAAACCCTGTATAGGGTCCTATGAGTTGGAACCAACTCCACGACACATAAACACCACCACCACGATTTTGCTGTCTGTATGTAAAGTATGAAATTTTATATTTGATGTCACACGTAAAGCTCTTTTTCTACTTCTAGCACA